CGATAATAATTAACTAGACCAAGGAATGATCGCAATCCCGTCACCGTTGTGGGAGGTTCTCACTCAATAATATCATGTACCTTGGCCATATCCATGTTGATCTCCATGCCCAAGGGACATTCTTCTTAAGCAAGTTAGTCAAGGATGACGCCCTTCTAGAGTACCCTTGGATAAATTTTCGATAATAATTAACTAGACCAAGGAATAATCGCAATCCCGTTACCGTCGTGGGATGTTCCCACTCAATGATAGCACGTACCCTGGCCATATCTATGCTGATCTTCCCACTAGCAATCTTGTGTCCCAAGAACATCACCTCCTGTTGTGCGAATGAGCATTTCTCCCTTTTCACATATAGCTCATTTTCTCGCAACACTTGGAACAGTTTTCTTAAATGTTGGACATGGTCATCCAAGCTTTCACTGTAGACTACTATGTCATCCAAGTATACCACCACGAATTTATCCAAGAATTGGTGAAAAATCTTGTTCATGAAGGTGCAGAACGTTGCTGGCGCATTAGTAAGACCAAATGGCATGACTAGGAATTCGAACGAGCCATACCTGGTTACACACGTCGTCTTAGCCTCATCACCTTCGGCAATGCGCACTTGCCAGTAGCCCGATCTCAAGTCCAGCTTTGTAAACCACCGTGCCTTGCCCAACCGGTCGAACAAGTCATCCACCAAGGAGATAGGATACTTGTACTTAATAGATACTTTGTTCAGCGCCCGATAATCTATACACATTCGAAGGCTCCCATCATGTTTCCTTTAAAATAGTACTGGGGCACCATAGGGTGCCTTGGAGGGACGAATGTACCCTGCATCAAGTAGTTCCTTCAATTGCTTTCGCAATTCCTCAAGTTCTGGGGGTGCCATTCGATAAGGTACCATAGCTGGAGGTTTAGTACCAGGTTCCAGCTCTATAGCATGATCCACTTCCCTCCTAGGTGGGAGTCTCTTGGGGAGCTCCATGGGTATAACATCCTCAAATTCTCTCAATAAGTTATGGACTTCAGAAGGAATGTCGAGAGAATCAAGGGACTTACCTTTTTCCTTGCATATCACAAGGTAGGTTTGTTCTCCTCGTTTGACCGCTTTACGTACTTGCATAGCCGAGAGGACTCTAGCATTCACTGGAACACGCTTTACGGTAACCTTGTGGTCCTTTCCATCACTCCTGAATTGTATGCACCCATCATTCGTGAGAGAGAAAGGCAGGACTCTCTCCATGAAATCCAGGCCGATCACCATTTTGTAATCCTTCATTGGCACAATGTTCACGTCAATCGTGCCAATCCAAGTGCCCATTTTCATCGGGACTCCTCGGGCAATGCCAAGTAGTGGCCTTGTTGGTTGGTCCACCATCTTGATCCAACCAGGTTCCTTGGCGAATTTGAGACCTAATCTTCCCGCTTCATCGCTTGACACCAAGTTTTGATTGGCACCGCTATCTAGTAATGCTTTGATATCTGCCCCATTCACTTTGGCATCAATGTAGGTTAGGGTCTTACCGGTCGAAGTTTGGGCTCGACCTTGGCCTTGGATACCTCAACTCTAGGCTCTTCTTGCGCCCTGTCCTTTACCGAGGAAAGTACACGCAATGACCCCAACTATGCACATTCACCTTGCTGAGTGATCCCCTCACAGGAGGATATGATAGCATTTAACTTGCTGCAGTTTGGGCATTCCCTTACAAAGTGCGGCCCACCACACAGGAAACAGTCCCGTCGTGCCCTGGGCTGTTCCTTGTTGCCCTCTCCTTGTCTTTCCTTTCCCTTGAAAGGCTTAGCTGCCTTGTGGGGTTTGTCTCCCCCACCCTTGCCAAAGTTATTCCCTTTCTTTACCTTATCCTTCTTCGAAGATTCTTTTGAAAACTCCACCAAGGATTCGGCGACCGCAATGGCACTAGTAAGATCTTGGACACCTCGCCTTTTACGCTCTTGTTCTGCCCATCGTTGTAATCCATCAAGAAAGTACAACAAGCGGCTCTTGTCAGGCATATCTGGAATTTCCAACATCAACGATGAATACTCTCTAATATAGTCCTTGAGAGAACCCGTATGTTTAAGCCCACGTAATGTCTTTATAGTCACTTCTTCCGCATTTTCGGGGTAGAACTGTTTCTTTAGTTCTCCCTTGAATGCATCCCAAGTGTTTATTTCTACCAGTCCTCTCTCCATCTCGGCATGCCTTCGTCTCCACCATAGGGCGGCATCATGCTCAAGATATAAGGTAGAGGTACTTACCTTGGTAGCGTCATCCTTTATGTGCATGGCGTCCAAATATCTTTCAATTGCCCAAATGAAGTTATCCAACTCTTTAGCATCTCGTTTACCACCGAATTTTGGTGGTTCGGGGATTTTAACCTTTGGGGTAGCACTCGTCAATGCTCCCGCGACTAGGGCAGCCTTGCATAATGTGAGGTCTCCCTTTACCTCACAAAGTTCCTCCTTTAGGGACTTAATTTCCCCTCTAATGGTGCATCGAAATTCTTCCATAGATTTATTCATATTATCAATGAAAGAATTGAGCGCACCTTGTAGTAGACCCTCGAGCTCCTTTATCTCTTCGTCCCTACTCTCTTGTTCCTCTTCCCGCGAGTCAAGAGTGTCAAGGACTTCTCCCATGGCCAACTCCACCTTGGACAGCCTTGTATTGAAGGCCTCAACCGTGTCCGCAGAGACACTTGTCTCACCCTTGGTCTCCTTGGACTTTGCCTTCCTCTTTGGCTGAACTCGGGTCTCTTCACGCCCTCGTTCCTCTTGCACTTTGGTGACGTGCCAACTTTCACTTCGCTCCCAGACATGGTTACTCACACCCCTTGTAATGTAACCTAGGATCTGATACCACGTGTCACGGTACAAAAACTTTAGTTTGTCCTCGTGCGGCACTTAGTCGATTGGTTTTCCCAAAATCCAACTAAGTCAGCCTTCCCAAAAAACAGAAGTTTAGATAGGTACACTTTCTCACAATGCACAAGAGTTTTGGAATGCTCAAAGAGAGGCTTTTATTATGTACAAGTGGTATGCACAAGTTAAGAGTACAAAGGAGCACAATAGAGCACTAGAGCACTTTTTCTATGTGTTTATGTATGTGCATTACAAATGGCCTAGGTGGGTATTTATAGGCATCCCACCTCCTTAACATGTGGTGGAGATTCTAGAATCCTCTATACAATTGTCAAGCATACAACTCTAGGGTGTTCTAGAATCTTCTCATACCTTAGGTATATTCTCTTCTAGAATGTTGGGTAGATTTCTTACCCATTTGAAGTTGTTAGATATTTCCTTAAATTACCGGAAAGCTCCAGCCCTCTCCTCAAGCTTCTAGAAACTTCCGTATATGCAATTTTAGCGTTTTCCCTTCTGTTGGCTTTCTTAGCCAATTTTTCATGTCCAACTCTTGTATGCTCACAGTGCGCCTGCACATACCTTCCTGCGACGAGGCTGAACGTCAAGGAAGAAACCTTCACATGGATGAACCATCCATCATGTGAAGAAGTGTGCGCCAACACATGCCTTCATGCGACTAGGCTGAATGTCAAGAAAGAAGTCTTCACGTGGATGAACTATCCACCATGTGAGGAAGCGTGCGCCAGCATATGCCTTCATTCGATGAGGCTGAACGTTAAGGAAGAAACCTTCCATGGTTGGATCAAACACCATGAAAGAAGCCCTTGCACAGAAAAGTACACCCCTTGCAAGGAGGTAAAAATTATAAACGACAAATAAAACAAGCCAAAGAGTTTCAAAAAATTGGGACCTCAGTTCCATTTATCAAAAGTAAACAGCTTCTGCACATAAGGACTTCAGCTTTATCAAACTTTTTGTAAATCGTAAGGCAAATGACTTACCTAAAGGAAGATGCACTATCTTAAAGGTCACCCGCTACACAAACTTTTTATCTTAATTTTACTTTCAAGTCCATGTATTACATAAATAATCATATCTAGACTTGGGCGACTATTGTTACTCCCGTAAATTACGTGGCACTATCTTGAAGGAAGCGTCCCACATTTCTGACGTGGCATTGACTTAGAGGATCCTCTAAAAAAACATCATGAGATTCAGTCTAACAGAGCCTCCGCTGAAGAGCCTCAACCACCTAGAAAGAGTCTCGGTTGAAGGGCCTCATCCACTTATAAAGAGCCTCGGCTGAAAGGCCTCAACCACCTAGAAAGAGCCTCAACTAAAGGGCAACATCCACTTAGATAAAGCCTTGGCTGAGAGTCTCAGAACCTTGGTTTTGGGCTTGGGCAAGGCCCATAAGCCATATGGTCCATTTACATTTCCATTTTCTATATATATGTGAATCTATTTCATTTTAAGATATGTTCTTTAACCCTATCATCTTCCCCTCTTCCCCTTTTTCACTTATATTTTTCTCGTCCGACAGTTGACTTGACTGTCGGAGTGCGAACGGTCGTCACCTTTTTCTTAACCGACAGCATTTGCCTCCTAATGGGGTGTTCAGTGTACAGGTGATGTCCACGTGGAGGGAATGTGGCGGGGATTCTGTTGAGCTCATTTTTTGGGACCAACAGTAATTAGAAGTCAAAAATCTCTGTTTGAAACTATTTTTTAAGATAGAGTTACTTTAATATATTTTGGATTTTGCTATGTGTACATAGCAATGTACACAACGGTGTCCATAATGGACAAATGACACCCCTCCTATTAGGGGGGGCTCCTGGGCAAACCCGTATATTTTTGAACCATGCTTCATGTATAGAAGCATGGTTTCATAGAAGAAAACCAGATGCACACAATGCCGGGGGTGGGTATTTTTTTTCATTTTTTATTCCGATAGACCCACACATGTGAGTGGATGTAAAACTTCTGTCAAAAAAAATTTCTATACATATGGTTTAATCCTGTCTTTTTCTCCCAGCCGCCGGCCAAAAAGAAAAAAGGTGGGCGGGGGACCAGGACATTGAATTTTGAAGTTCAATTATAGTGGTCTTTTAGTCTTTTCTGATAACGTCATTTCACTACAGTTTGGAGATCGTATTGAGGCTCCCATTTTCTACCTTGGAGTAACGAAAAGAAGAAGATGCTCAGTTGGGCAGGAAGAAGCAAGACAACAAACATTTCTCGAATTCCACGAAGTTTTGGGGTAAGTTGCACATTTTATTGTTCTGGTTCACTCTTTTGCTTATGATCACTTTTTCATGATATTTAACAATGGTGTTGTCAATAAATGTCATACACGAACCATTTGAAACGTCGAATTATAAGGTTAGGTAGCAAGCTCAACATGAGATGAGGGTGGTTAGTTTAGTTGAGTTGCGAAATATAACTTGTTTGTGGGAAAGCACACCAAGAAACAACCTGTTAGGAAGATAGATACTCTTTCTATCTGTCCCTCCTTTGAATTCTTTCGTACCTTTCACATTGAACAAGTGTAGCTTTCAAAAGAATGTACCCGTGACAATTGTCAAACGTCTACTCTACTTAATTATGACATAAATATTCACAAAAGTAGTCCTTTCTCCAGTTAGTATTGGCACGAGTATGCATACTTGATTTCATCGTATATTTTCTTGTTTGGCAGAGGGGACGACGAGTATCTACATGTCAACCATGTCGACATTAATTCTGGAGATCCCTTTCGCTTTTACCTCTGCAATTATAAAGCTGCGTTATCTTCTTGTGATGTATTATTTGATAAACTCAGACATTTGAAGCAAGATTGTAACTGCACATATGATCGTGTTGGTAACAAAAGGGAAGTGTTTGGTGGCATAATATTCTCTTGCTCTGGTCGAGGTGACTCCTTTTTTGGACAACCTGGTATTGACAGCTCGCCTTTTCTGGAGAACTTTCCTGGGGTTACTTTTGGAGGAACTTACTGTCATGGGGAAATTGGACGGGGCTATTGTAGCTTGTACGGGCAAGGCAATAAAGAAGGTGACGTTGCGCGTTGTTCTTGGCATGCCTTTAGCGCTGTCTACCTAATCATGTCGTACACTCCTCCACCGCCGCAGAGTAAGACCACGAGTGCTGAACCTGGTTGTTCGAGTTCAAATCAATGATTCAGGTGCTTGGCTATATAACCTTGTGATTCTTGGTTATGTGGATTTAACTTTAGAATATGCATTTGTTGAAACGATTTAGTGGTGTTTTATATCAATTTCTTAGTTATCATGAAAAATAATGTACACTGAGACAATTAGTGTAATCGAAGAATTTGATGTTACCATATCCGGCCTTGCCATTCAACCTGAAAAGTTGTATTTTTCGGGAGAATGTAAGCTGCTTGACTGAACTGCGATTCTGTTTATCCGAGGGGCGTGTTGCAACAAAAGGTTTGCATTCTATGCATTCCATAAACTTCTAGCATGCCTCACTCATTGAAACTTCAAAATGATCCCAAAATAAATGAAGAAATGCAGAAAACCTAAGAACATCTGTACTTGACATGGACCCTTCCTACTCTTGTATGAAGGTTAATGTCTATCAGTATGTTTGGTATGTTAGATTTTACTGAATAAGATTAATAGTAAAAATAAGCCCATATTTGTCTCTCTTTAAAACAAAACTCTTTAATTTTCATATTATTTCCAATCACACGTTCAACAATAAAATATTTTGCACGTAAACTCAAAATTTTTCCTACTTTTTAACCACACATTCTTCAAAAAATCAATATTCAAAATTTCATTTTTTTATTAATAATGGCCATCAAATGGGGGCTAAGTTAATGTATTGTCCATAATACTTTGTAATACTGCTGAATACTATGTAACATACAAACATACCATGAAACAACATTAGAGACTCCAAATTGTTCTCAGGCAGCAAGGGAGTAGGGAAAAAGGAAAAGTTAGGATCAGGGGTGAAAATAATTTGACTCAAGGCAGTTTTGACCTATTTTCAAATCAAGTTTTAAAGGACTTGAAAATTTCTAAGTCAAACCACTTCATTTTTGACAGTTCGATTTGCTTTCAAACCGAAGTTTACCCAACAATATAATAGTAACATTGCTTAAATGCATTAAAACATAGAAATATATTTGTCTAAAATGGCAATATAAAACCTAAATTGAAATTTTCTAAATATAAACGTTGCAAAGCTAATGTATTAACCTCAATACAACATAGTTATACAACTTGATCGAGCCGGGCTTTGAAATCCGACGATCAGAGTCCATGATCGGAAGTGCAATTGACCTGGTCAAGCACCAATCAAAGTTCATGTAAACATGCGATTTTTGAGGAAATCGGAGGTTGAATTTAACCGAGTTTTAAAAATGTAATACAATTTTGTGGGGCCAAGGATTTGATCCCTTGCTTGGTTCAATAACTTAACTGCTATCAAGCCACTGTTTGTTTCAGTCACATTTCATCAATTTTTTTATAAAAAATTACTAAAAATCTGATTTTAATCTACAACAAATAGGGGCTAAATTCATCATCTGTTATTTTAAAATATTTTGAATTATAGTCGAACAACTTTTACTATATTTTCTAATACCAAATAATAATATGATGGATTTATTATGTATTGAGAAATTTGATTGATAACTTATAAAATGTTTCTACACCATAAAAATTGGAATAATATAAAATTTAATTAAAAATTATATAGTATACAAGATTATAAAATTAAAATGTAAATACTTAGAGAGTATCAATAAGTTTCACAATATTAATAATTTATAGATATAAAATAATTTGTGAGAAATACCTTTAAAAAAATTATTATTGTCTCAGAAAAGATTTTATACTTTTTAAATAATTTTCTAATCAATCAATGATCTGATGATCCAATATCTTGGTCGAGCCAATGTCCGGACCGAATTTGATATCTACGCATTACATGCTTAATACACTAAAATATTGCAAAGTTAGCAATTCTTATACTCCTTGAGAGAAAATCAAAACATCTACCTTCTCTTCCTGCCTTTTTTCAATTATATTGGTCCAAAAAGTTTCATTGATTAATACTGGTTTATCTTTCATATTTACTGTCTATTCAAGTCCTAAATTTGGAGGAAGAAAAAACGTATCAAGTGGAATAAATGAAGTCTATCTTCAAAACTCTTAATCAGTAGTACTTTAGTTTCTCCCTTGTCACAGCAAAACAAGCATGTTATAGTCTTTGGTGGCATTATCTTCTTCTCTTGCTGTGGTCACTGCAATTTTTTACTCCTTTTCTGGAGATTATAACCTTGGGATTCTTAAGAACAAAATTGAATGGTTGTCATGGGTTTTAACTTTTTAATATGCATTTTTTCAAACAATGCACTCTTTTTTTTATATCGATTTTCCTTATTATCGTGCACAATAACGTATGAACTCGATAAGTTGACATTCGATATAGAATGTAAGGATAACTAATTGACCTTTCACAACAGAAAGGATGGTTCTCTATGCATTTTGCTCTTTCAAAATACATAGGAGAGGAATCAAGGAATACAATTAATCCATCACCCAAATCGTGTGAAAAGAAAGTTGTCACGTTCTGGAATAAAGCAACAAGATCCACAATATCGAAAAGTAAGTTACAATATCTGATAACAATATCTCATTCAAGAAAAGTCCGACTTAAAAGATAATCACATTCATTTACTGCAATCCAAATGCAAAGTTCTTACCCAAAGGTGAGTTCCTCTCTTGTTGCAATCGCCTCCATCAAAAATTGCCCCATTGCCCTCTTCCACTGGGCCTCCTCCTCCACCACGACAACCACCACCAACAACAACAACAACCCAAATCAATCTTTCAGATTACAACCCAAATCAATCTTTCAGATTA